ACATTTGCGATTAATTATTGATCATTGTACTCTCGGAATTGCACAGCTTTAACGATTTATCGCGAGGTTCGAAGCGATTATTCGTTGCTGTCAAGAATACGTAAATTCGTTTGCGAAAATTGATCAACGTTTATATAAACGTTTGAAGTTGATATTTTAGTAGTTTATTATTTCATTATTTATTATATATTTTTTAATTTTATCAGTTACACTTATTTAGTTAAAAAGAAACTAATCAGCAGCTTCGAATAGCATAAAGTGATATTATACAATATTATGAACTATGATATGTCGTATTGCAAATTTAAATGAAATTCTTTCGATAGATCGAACAATTCTTTCAACAGATTAAAATATTTCTCAAGCAACGTTAAACGCTTGCAATGCTATAAACATATATATCGTTGTATTCGGAAGAGCGTGTAGTATTTTTTCTCGAAAGAATCGCTTTGATTATGTTCTTTTTATGGTTCACGCGCGAGAAGTTCGCGACCTCTGGAAAATCCAATCGGAATCCAAGAACGGAATTCAATGTCGCTTTTAAACAATTTTATCCGTCGACGGTGCGTCAACGATCGCGCAAAAATGTATATCACTTCACTCGGGAGATTCTGGAGAATCGCCGGAGAGTCTTGAATCCAATTAACTGGAGAAATCGGGGACTCGAAAAAATCCGATCGAATGAAAAGCACGCGCGCGAACGACTTTCTGACTTCCGGCAATATTAATTCGCGCTGTCCGGCATCGAATCGAATTTTATTTATCCCACCCCCCCTCACGCCCGCGATCAATCATCTTCGCCGGGGAATCATTTCCACGGCTATCACGATCAATTTAAATGCATCCCGATCCGCGAAAATATTTATTGCCCCGAGAATTGTTGCGAACGCGTCGAGCACGCAACACGCCGCGGACGTTCTCGAGAGTGTTGCGAAATTAATCGCGCCGCGAATCGACTCGCGGTGCTATCGATTCGAGGATGTTCCGAGTGGACCTACGCTGAAACAGCTGACAACAAATAACGGCACGGTGTCGCGGCCGCGGGACGGGCAAACAAAAATGTCCAACGAGCTTGCCGCAAAGGTTTCACGCTGATATTCCGCGTTACAGTGAAATAAAATAAGGACGTTAATAGCGAGCCCCGGGCGTCCAACGCTTTAATGCGACGGCACAGCGTGTTAATAATACTAAATAGATCCTGTTGTCAGCCGGAGTCATGCACAGTCGCGGAAATATCCGAGCGGCGCTGTAATCTGACGTTCATGCTGTGTGTTTTAAATAAACAGGCGAAATCAGCGAGAAAAATACGTTTCGTCCGGTTACAACGCGCGCTCCTCCGTGTATACGGCGCGGATTTTTACGGCGTTTCATGCTTCAGGAATCGTCGAGCGTGGATCGCGAAACGGAGTTGAAGAGAGATTTTTCAAAATTTTTTGTCGAAATCGTATTCTCAAGTGGCGTATTTCTATTAAATTTTTACGGTAAAGAATATTTTAGTAAAGCGATGTTGCAATACGATGAAAGCTGAGACTCTACCCTTTAAAATGAGCTAAAGTACATTGTCGTACGATTTTTTCCTACGAAATTACGACAGGTCGAATTTCCTAGAAGTCATTTAAATTGTTTAATTTTCGAGAAAAGTGATACCTTCACTTTCTCTCGAGATTCTCGCAACAAATATATTATTTAAAAAACGATGCTTAGGGCCTTTGAAAGCTGAGACTTTACCCTTAAAAATGAGCAAAGGTACATTGCCGTACGATTTTTTTTCACTGAATTACATCGCTTCAAACATCGTCAAACCAACGGTCCGCTACGCATCTCGTACAACAACGTTCCACGTGATATCCTCAAAGTACGTTACAAAACCAATCCTAGCCAGTTAAAATAGAAGCTTCGCGCTTCAAAACGAGTCCAAGCACATCGTCGTACAATTTTTAGTCACGAAGTTACAATAGGTCAAACATCGTCGGTCCAAAGATTTGAAAGCCCTCGCGTATAAGGACGCCTGTTTTCCCAACCGAGGGCAGCCCTCTGAAACCAGCATGGGAGACCAAAAGAAGGTAGTTCGCTCTTTAAAATGAACTCGGATGGGTCTCCCGACGCCCTTTTTCCGCGAAGTTGCACCAAGTCAAACATCCGCCATAAGTCAGCCTGGACCGGACCTGACAAGCCTCAAACATCGCCAGGATTCCCGGGGAAAAACCGTCAGCCGAAACACTTGGAAAAAAAGGAGCCCCGCAACCCTGAAACCCACAATCTTCCTGGACCGTGCTCGCCCTAGAACGAAGCCGCTGCGCGGGCCGATTAGACGCTGCTGCGCGCCGCTCTCTCTCCGACTCCGTCCTCTCCTTCTCTCTCCATCTCTCTCTCTCTCTCTCTCTCTTTTACTCTCTCCTCAGTCAGTCAGCCAGGCATCCCGTCAGCCAGCCACCTCGGCTATCACGTAAGAGTCGTGAGTGGGGCTTTTGCGAAAAGACACGCCGTAGCTGCAGGAGTGGCTTGCAGGCTGCTATGGTGTCGGCGTGGAGGGAGGTTGCATCCACCGCTCCATGGTTACAGAACGAAACGGAGACGGAGAAACGACACGGAGAAGCCGCGCGACAGAGACGACTTTCCGGGCTTGCGGGGTGTGAGGTGCCACCCACCGGGCCCCCTCCACCACCCACCGGCCCCCTCCCGCGCTCCCCGGCCAACCCTTCCGCGACGCTCCTCCCACTGGAGCGAGCGAGAGGCCGCGCGCCGCGCGACCGGGACGCAGCGAGCGCCGACAAAAGGGAGGGGAGTGCGCGGTGGGAGGGCCGCCGCGGCGGTGGGTGGGGACGACGGGCGGCGGGAGGTGGGAGGCGGGGGGTGGCGGAGCTCCGTGAGAGCGTGAGAGGGCAGCGATTGTGCTACAGTCGCGCCGCGACACCCCCACGAGTGAAACCGCGCGCGTGCCAAGCTGCCGAGAGGAGAGAGGGCCCGCTCTCTCAGAACAGTGCTATGCTTTCAAAGCTCCCGCTCTCGGCACACCGGGACGGATCATCCTAATCGGCCGGGCAAAGATATCGTTCCGATGCGCGGCCGTGTCCTGACGGACTGAGCTCGATCTTACGAACGTGGTGGACCTTGTCGAGGATCTACCGAGGAACCGTACCGTTTTCGGACTTACCTGTTGATGACGGTTCAGCCAGGGGCTGCGCCGATGGTGCGACGGTCGACGGTGTGATACTGTGTGCTGGATTGTGACGCGGTGTGCTTTTCGTGGAGAACTGCGCTCTGTGGAGAACGGCCGTCGGTGCTGATGGTTCATGGGAGCTGCCAACAGATTGCGGAGATTACAGGTGGGTTTGATGGTGTTTGGATGGGTTTGGACGGGTTTGACGGTTGAAAACGGGCCTGATGATTGCGGTGGTTCCATTTATGACAAAGATCTGCGATCGATTATGGTTTTGGCACCCTGGCTGTGGGTTCGCTCGTTTGATCCACCAGTTTAAGATGGTTTGATATAAATCCGGAATGTTTGACGTCCGAGAAGTCAGGATAATTATTGGAGAGATTGGATCTATAAAAGAATTGTGCTGCCGATTTTTTATGGTTTTGATATTCTTGTTCTGCGCTGGTTGGTCGATTTGGTCGACGAGTTTGAGATGGTTTGGTATAAATCCGGAATGTTTGACGTCCGAGAAGTCAAGATAATTATTGGAGAGACTGGATCTATAAAAGAATTATGCTGCCGATTTTTTATGGTTTGGATATTCTTGCTGTGGGCTGGTTAGTCGGTTTGGTCGACGAGTTTGAGATGGTTTGATATAAATCCTGAATGTTTGACGTCCGAGAATTTGGGGTAACAGTCTGAGAGATTATGAACGAGTTTTGCAGTTGGTTTTTAATAGTCTAGCTACCCTGGGCCTGGATCTCGAGGTTCGTTCAACGAGTTTGAGGTGGTTTGAACTGGAATGTGTAACTCTTCTGGGGCCAATCAAAAGAGTCCTGTACACGCGAGCGAAAAAGTACCTGATTGATGCAGTCTGATGAACATAAACTGGTCATAAAATTGTTATTTATTAAAACTATTAAGAGAACATTTTCTCAAGCGTTGCCAATAACGATGTACCATTGTTCGACCCTAAAAGGGTCAATGAATCGTGGGGAGAGATTGGAGCGTTGCGGGGGTGCGGCAGAATTTGGTTGCCTTCACTTGATAGAATTTCAATAATTAATCTAGCCATGACCTAAATCGCGTGGTTTCGTCGAGTTTGAGACGGTATAATTATTCCTTGTGCTCGAATTAACAAGTTTTCGCACGCTCGTCGAGGTTAGGTCTGGTCAGCTTAGTTACCCGGAACACCACCAGATGGCCCGGCCGTGCTATGCCCGACAGTTTCTGACGGTCTTGAACAGTTCGGCCATTCTTCTAGCTGGTTCGAACATCATATCAATGTAAATTCGTGTCAGTACGCTTCAGCTACCTGGAAGCAAGATAAATGATCTAACGACCGTGTCCGCGCGACTAGGTTAGGTTCGTCGGGCACGTGGTGTAGCTTTTCGTTGGGTTGAAGTGTTTGTGAAAATGCCGGGCGATGCCAGCTGCCCGAGGATTATTTATTTCTTTCAAATGAAATCGATGCGAATCGATTTAATTTTTTGTTGGCGTAAAAATTGATTAAAATATCGATTCGACGCTGATGCTGCGGACTGTACAGTGCGCCGCGGTCCATGCAAAATCGAGTTTCAGCAGATCCGAAGGAATCGAATGAATAGCCGCGGAGCCTGGGCTCGATGTAAAAGAGCCGTCAGCCCAATCTGGACGCGTCCGCTCAAAAATGCTTCGAGCACGGTAATTAACAGGTCCGCAAAGTAGTCTGTCGGGTCACGGGTTATTAACTTTCGGAGACGTCGCGTAGACTCGCGAGAGGAGCCTCGTCTTTTTGGCGGAAGTTTCGACGCGGCACGGTTTTACATAATAAATCGTCGTGTAATAGACCTCCGGTACCTGTTGAAGAACCTCCGCGTTATCATGGTCTGATACGAATTGCTTGTCGGTTCGCGAGGCTTGTCCTTTAAATTCTAAGCGAAGGAATCCTTATAAAAAAAAATAGAAAAATAGAAAAATGATTCAACTTCGCTGATTATTGAAAGAATGGTTTTGAAAAGATTTCGAGGATTAGCAAATCTTCGATAACATCAGAAACTTTAAACATTTTCTCTAAAACAATGGACCCAAGAATGACCGTAGAAAAAATATAGCAATAATCTCTGACCTTGATTTTAACAGGAAAAAATATTTGTCTCCCAAACAGTCGTTATTTACACAGATAAACAAATAATTGAGTTATACTTCGATAGGGGTGAATTCCAAAACTTTGACTAATCGCTGCCCGCTTTAAACATTTTCCCTAAAACAATAAATATAAAAATGACCGTACAAAAAATATAGCAACAATCTCTGACCTTACTTACAACAGGAAAAAATATTTATCCCCTAAACAATCAGTATCTACACGGTTAAACAAATGATTGAATTATAAACACTTGGACGAGGTGAATTCCAAAACTTTGACCGATCGTTGCCCACTTCGAACATTTTCTGCGAAGCAACGGGTCCAGAAATGGCCACATAAAAAATACAGCAAGACTCTTCGACGTCGACTGTAACAGGGAAAATTTTCTTTTGTTGAAAATTCTAGCGTTTCTCTGGTTAAACAAATTGTCGAACCTACGCGGCCGCGTTTAGACAGCGGTAAATTCGTGTAGGACAGGACAGAGGGAATAAGAGATTGCATGGGCGGGGAAGCGCGGGCAGGGGGCGTGCGGGAAAAAGAAAATTCTTTTAAACGGCGGTCCGCCGGGGTCTCCTAAGTGAACGCAAGGACTTTGTAAGCACGAATGCCGCGGAGTTCTTTTGTTCGTGGCACCGTTCGCCAATTCATTCGGTCGCGACATATATGTAGCGCGCTCTTTCCCGAGCCGCTGTGCTCGTTGCGAGCACCTGTGGACCTCGACGTCCCCCGTGAACTCTCCTTTGGAGAACTGCCAATGACTTCCGGCTGACTCGTAGAACCTGTTGATGATCCACCCTGCTTCTACGTTTTATGGCGGCCCGAATTAAATTAATTCTCTCTCGACGCTGCCGCCCCACCCCACCCCGCCCCGTCCCATCCCGCCTCTTCGCACACTTTCCCTCTTTCTAATCGACCCTGACAATACTGCCACCCTCTGCCAGCTACAGTCACCCCGAAAAATATTTCGGCAACGACCCTTACGCTTTGCGATCTGTATTTCCGGGTTCGAGATAATTTGATTCATTTTTCTGGCACTTTTATTTCCATTCGTTTCGAACCATTTCTTTGGAGCACCAACCTCGAAACTGCTACAGTCGCCTCGAAAAATATTTCGGCGACAATCCTCGCGCTTTAACATTGTTTTACAGTCGCAGATCCGAGATATTTGATTCCATTTATTTTCTAGAATCTCCGTTTTCAATTAATTCTGAATAATTTCTTTATAAATACAGCCACCCTCTGAACGGGTACACTCGCGTCCAAAAGTATGCGGAGAGTATCCCCTTAGAGCTCTTGTATAGCGACTGATAATTTGCGAGATCGTGATATTTAATTTTATTTGTTTTCTCTAAAATACTTCTTCGATCAATTTTGTGATTTCGATGATAGGAAATCGGAATACTTATGGTTTATTCATGAATATTTATAGAATTTTCATTATCCGAGAATGATCACAGAATATTTATGGCGATTTGAAGCTACGCGTTATGAATATTCAATATTTATTCTATTTATTCTATTTATATCGTTCAATTTATAATATTTGCATTCATTCTGCTCGGAATATTTTTTTAAATATTTTATAAATTAATTTCGTTTGGTATTAGAAAATAAATAAATTCTACCGTTGATCGTGTAACGAACGTATCGTCGGTTTAATCATTATTCTCAGCTGATATAATTAAGGCGATGTTTAATCGGCCACTCACTTAACTTCGCCCAGGATCGGATTTGTAAAGCATACCCGGGCCAAAGTGTGCGATGATGAGCTCGGCTCGTTAAAATTCGGTTTAAAACAATATTTCACTCCCAGCTACAGCCAAACATGGTTGCTGGCGCACAGTTATAGTTGGAGCACCGAAATTCCCCGGGGGAAGTTCTCAGTTTCTGCCAAAATATACAATTTTGTCGTTCAAACGTTTGTTCCGAATCAAACCTGCATCACGTCGTTCATGCAATTATTATTCAGTAGCTGTACAATTTTCAATACTAATTAAATCGTTGTTTCACAGCATTTTAGATCTTTAGTCTATATTTTTAATTCTATTCGAGACTTTCGTTTTAATAGTTTTAATTTCGTTTCGTTTTCGTCTATCTTTTCGTTTTATATCTTTCATTTTGTTTCAACTTTTCATTTGACAAATTTCAATTATATTCGAGACTTTCAGTCCACGATTTCAATTTTATTACAGATTTGTATGTTACATTTTCTATTATTTTTTCGTGGACTCTCGTTTTGCATATTCAATTTTATCGGAGATCTTCGTTCTACATTTACAATTTCATTTTTTATATTTATATTTCAGATATTTCATTTCATTTTAAATTCTTATTTCAGACTTTTATTTTACAGTTCTATTTTCTTTTCTAGATTTTTCATTTCAACGTTGACTTTCATTGTACGTTTTCAATTTCACTCGAGAATTTCCTTCTTGCATTTACAATTTGAATTTGGCTTCTATTTAACAATTATTCCGACATATTCAGCCTGATTGCTGAATATTGCAATTGCTCGTCGGATATCGGCGCGAATAGCGTGTAAATAAATAATTTCGTCGCCGTGAAACGATTAAACGGAGAGAACTGATATTATAGGGAAGAGTTGGATCGATTTTATCACGGCTGCAATTCATGGCTGCTTTGGCGCGAAAGAAAAATCCGCGATAAGGGGGTTGCGATAAGGGGTGGGGGCGTGAGAGCCACTCCTTTCGATCCCAGAGCGCTGGATGCTTGCCAATGAATGCTTAAACGTAAGAGACCTGTTGATAATCGCGAGATATAATGCATGGTACGCCTCGCTATATTTCAGAGCCGCCTTTCCCCCTCGTTGACCGCATTGTTGCGCCGCTTTTTCATTTTAACCCCCCCTAAGAAACGCGTGGCTTTAATGTTTTCGGCGAAGGGCGCCGCTTTTACGACGCGATTAGGCGAACGGCTTCGACGATGACTCTCCTGGAATTCTCAATTCAACTACGCCCGTCGCTTTAATTTCATTCTACTATTCGCTTTTCTTTTTTCTTTCCTGCCTCCTTTCGCAGAGACCTGCAACGTTTTTGATCCGCAGAAATTTGAATAAAAAGTTGAAGGCTGTTGTCACGTCTCCGCGAAAGGTCGACACTTTTTTGTCAAGCCATCGCTGTGAAAATAATTCCCGAAGATTTTAGAAACTATCATTTTTAGCGATTTTTAGCGAGAACGAGATTTTTAATGTCAATGCGTAACTTCGCCAGTTTTGGAAATTTTCGCGTTACAAAAATAGCTACCGAAAGCCGAAAACTGCTTCTATATCGCCACGAAGATAAAAATTTTCCACTCAAAACGCTCTGTGCGAAAAAAAATTCCCAAAATCGCTAAGAACGACTCACCGCAGCGCTCGACCTTCTGAAAAATCGAGCCGTCACAGTCGGATAAATAACTCCGTCATTTTTCAACATTTTCAACTTCCAAAAATTGCTCCGGACAGCCAAACGTCTCGTACAAGCGTACAAAAAAGCTGCGAATTTTCTGTTCGTCCGTCGCGGTTGAAAAAAATTCCCAAACTTGACCTACCCTTGGACACTCTCCATCGACGAATTTTCCAAAAAGAAAAGCCGGGAGAGTGCGGCAAAAATTTGGAAAAATCGCCGCGTTTTTTGGACGGGAGGATGCCGCCGCGCTCCAAAGAAAATCTGAAACGACCGTTCGCCCCGCTACACGCGGCCGTGGGCGAGCCGGGGCGGTCCGTGCCGCGGGGGGACGGCCCGGCAAAAAAGGCACACGTGACATCTGCCGTCCGGCGGAGCGAAGCTTTTTTGTAATAAAGTGGCGAAATCCGAGAAAAACCGTCATTGCGGATTAAGCGGCTGCCGATATTAAAGCACGATCTGAATTTCGCGGTGGGCGGCAGGGGGGAGGGGCGGGGCGGGGCCAGCCGGACGGGGCGGGAAAAAACGAGTGCGACGAGTGTATCGCCGCATCAGCTGTTATTTGCGAAGCAAATGCTCGTTTAATGGTTCCCTCTGCGTATACACGCGGCCAAACCTCTGCCAATCGGGGCCTCGCTAATTGTTTTTAACTGAATGGCCGGCACGCCGGGGTCTGCGTGATCTGCACCGATCGATGAGTGGATCATTGATCGTCCGAGCAGATACCCGAAACCGAATGCCTAATTATTGGAAGCGATAGTTCCGGCCAATTTGGATAAATCGGTTTGATATCGGGCTTTTTGGTCGCGTTGGTTGTTAATCCGACATGTTTTTGTTAATTCGTTCGTGCAAAAATTTATTCGGCAAACGAATTGTATTCAGAATCATTCCGCGAAGCGTGCTGGAGATAATGATTGTACGGTTTCGTGGGATCGATGGCGTTTGGTGACGTGTGAACGGTGTTTGACGATGTTTGAACGGTGTCTCGGTTTTACATTATAGTTTTTTATGTTAGTTATAAGTGATATTTGTAACCGAAAAGATTGTTTAGTATTCTGGTAACTGAGGAACGATTCTTATTATTTTTTAATAAAATGAAATTGTTTAAAATCGAATTTTAAACAATCCTTTTGGTATTTGGGATGTTCGGTTTTTAACGAAAAAAATTGTACTTTAACTTTGGACATTTTTTGCGCTCGAACCGTGAAAGTTAGAAAAATGTTTGTTGGTTGAAAAAATTCTGCAAACTTCTTAGCTAAATTATACATATTTTAATTATTTGCTGATACGCTTTAATAATTGTTCGTACATTCGTTTATGTTCTCAATGTGTTTGTATAAACTGTTGGTATATTTATTTATATTCTTAATATATTTGTATATGCTGTTGATATAATTGTTTGTGCCATTAATATATATTTCTTTATTGTTATAATATATTTGTATACACTGTCGATATATTTATTTATATTCTTAATATATTTGTATGTGCTGTTGATATAATTGTTCGCATTATTAATATATTTGTTTATTGTAGTACTATATTTGTATACACCGTCAGTATATTTGAACGCGTTGAAACGCGATACTTAATCATACTTAAATGAAAATATAACGATCGGTGGAAGGATTTAACGGAGTCTTGCTCTCGGCTGATAATGAAATAGTCCATAAAAATGCTGAACACGCGTCGTTCAATTTAACCGCGATGTTTGATGTTTCTCATTTGAATTCGAAAATTCGGATCTTGACAAATGGCCGCGATTCGGCCGAATCGATAAACCGTTATAATAAGAAGCGTGCGCGCGGGATTAAATGGAAAATTCGCCGATTAATAATTCGTTAATCGGCGACGATCGTTAATGTAATAATCGAATTATAAATTCCATCGGATGTAATTTTAAATTCATTGAATTTCGCTATTGCAGATCGTGACGCGTCTCCAAGGGGCAGAACTCGGTGAGTGATTCATTTAAATATTAATACTATTGGTATAATTGCACCGTGTACGCTCGATTATAAAATTAATATCGTCGACACATAATCGTATTCCCGCATGATTTGTGATACGTTAAAAATGCTCAGCTGTCCGCGAAATTGTGTCCATCGAAGAACAGCTGTCGAAGAATTTGACCGTATTTCCTTGAAAAATGACCGTTCCGGCTCAAATATTTTTGAGCGTGTACTTCGAAGTTCCGTCTAAATTGCTATAAAATTTTTGCAATTTTTCACGCGGTCGTTCAATCGTGAAAAATTCTGAAAAATGTCCATGCACTATTTCGAAACGCGACGTTCCCGAAAGTAGCGAGCCACAGCGTTGTGGAAATTATTGTAACCCTTTCAAAAAACCACTTTTCGAGCTGAAAATTTTTGAGCGTGTACCTCGAACTTCTATTCAACTGGCCAAAAAATTTCGCGAATTTACGTCCAGCCGTTTGGTCGCGAAAAATGTTTGTAGACTCTTTCAGGCGATCGCAAACGTGTCCGAAAGGAACGGCTTTCGAAAAAAATTATTTCATTTCGCCGTAAAAGTGAGATTTTCGAGTTGGACGTTTCCCTGCATAATCTCCGACGAACCGCCGAAATTGTTGTAAAAAATTAGGGGAATCCGCCGAGTCGTTCGGTGGGAATGAATTCATGGAGGAGCATGACTTTCCAGTTGCCGCGTAAAAAATTGACGGTATCCATCCTCGTTGGCCCCATTTCCGGTCAGGTAACACAGTCCGACATTTTTTAAGGAGGGAAGAATTTTTCTATGAGACTCCGGCCGTGTAATACGTCCGGCGAATTCGTAGATATGCCGTATGTATATCGCATTCCTTCGTTCCGTGTTTAATACAGACCGTGCACGTTCGACGGAATCTTTAATATTACACATATCGCGCATAACCGAGATAAGTCCCCTTCGGTGTAAAATAGACTGCGGAATCCCGTGCATTCGTCGCGCATAACAGTCTCCCAAATCTCCGATCGAATCCGAGAATGCAAGAGTCAATAGGATCCGGTACAATTTAATTCCATTCGCGAGCTGATTTCCGCCCCTTTATTTCCTTTGATGCTGTCCCACGGGCCCGCGAAACGCATCTTTCGGCATTTTCGGACGACGCAGAGGACACTGGGACCCTACAGATCGCTGTATTCCCGCGGCCAGAATTTTCAGTTCGAGGTGGCACTATTTTGTAGAATTATCGGCGACCATAAAAGTTTTTCAATATTTACGAGCTTTACGATCAAACATGTTTACGAATTTTTCGTGACCAAACGGCTCGATGGAAAATTCGCAACATTTTACGACTATTTTGGTCGAACTTCGAAGTACGTACTCAAAAATTCCCGGCTGGGGGAATTCATTTCTCGGGGAATTGTAATAATTTCTTCGACAACCTTGTAGCTCAAGACCGTCGCGTCTTGAAATCGTGCACGGGCGTCCGAAACAATTTTTTGCAACCGAACGACCGAATGTAAAATTGCAAAATTATTCGACAATATAAACAGCGCTTTGAAGTATACTCTCAAAAATTGCCAGTCAAAGAAATTCATTTTTCACAGCGATGCGATATTTTCTTCGAGAGCCGTTCACCTCGTGCCGCACTTAAAAATCGAGCACGGGCGTCTGAAACAATTTTTTGCAACCGAACGACCGAATGTAAAATTGCAAAATTATTCGACAATATAAACAGCGCCTTGAAGTATACTCTCAAAAATTGCCAGTCGAAGAAATTCATTTTTCACAGCGATGCGATATTTTCTTCGAGAGCCGTTCACCTCGTGTCGCACTTAAAAATCGAGCACGGGCGTCTGAAACAATTTTTTGCAACCGAACGACCGAATGTAAAATTGCAAAATTATTCGACAATATAAACAGCGCCTTGAAGTATACTCTCAAAAATTGCCAGTCGAAGAAATTCATTTTTCACAGCGATGCGATATTTTCTTCGAGAGCCGTTCACCTCGTGTCGCACTTAAAAATCGAGCACGGGCGTCTGAAACAATTTTTTGCAACCGAACGACCGAATGTAAAATTGCAAAATTATTCGACAATATAAACAGCGCCTTGAAGTATACTCTCAAAAATTGCCAGTCGAAGAAATTCATTTTTCACAGCGATGCGATATTTTCTTCGAGAGCCGTTCACCTCGTGTCGCACTTAAAAATCGAGCACGGGCGTCTGAAACAATTTTTTGCAACCGAACGACCGAATGTAAAATTGCAAAATTATTCGACAATATAAACAGCGCCTTGAAGTATACTCTCAAAAATTGCCAGTCGAAGAAATTCATTTTTCACAGCGATGCGATATTTTCTTCGAGAGCCGTTCACCTCGTGTCGCACTTAAAAATCGTGCACGGGCGTCTGAAACAATTTTTTGCAACCGAACGACCGAATGTAAAATTGCAAAATTATTCGACAATATAAACAGCGCCTTGAAGTATACTCTCAAAAATTGCCAGTCGAAGAAATTCATTTTTCACAGCGATGCGATATTTTCTTCGAGAGCCGTTCACCTCGTGTCGCACTTAAAAATCGTGCACGGGCGTCTGAAACAATTTTTTGCAACCGAACGACCGAATGTAAAATTGCAAAATTATTCGACAATATAAACAGCGCCTTGAAGTATACTCTCAAAAATTGCCAGTCGAAGAAATTCATTTTTCACAGCGATGCGATATTTTCTTCGAGAGCCGTTCACCTCGTGTCGCACTTAAAAATCGAGCACGGGCGTCCGAAACAATTTTTTGCAACCGAACGACCGAATGTAAAATTGCAAAATTATTCGACAATATAAACAGCGCTTTGAAGTATACTCTCAAAAATTGCCAGTCAAAGAAATTCATTTTTCACAGCGATGCGATATTTTCTTCGAGAGCCGTTCACCTCGTGCCGCACTTAAAAATCGAGCACGGGCGTCCGAAACAATTTTTTGCAACCGAACGACCGAATGTAAAATTGCAAAATTATTCGACAATATAAACAGCGCTTTGAAGTATACTCTCAAAAATTGCCAGTCAAAGAAATTCATTTTTCACAGCGATGCGATATTTTCTTCGAGAGCCGTTCACCTCGTGCCGCACTTAAAAATCGAGCACGGGCGTCTGAAACAATTTTTTGCAACCGAACGACCGAATGTAAAATTGCAAAATTATTCGACAATATAAACAGCGCCTTGAAGTATACTCTCAAAAATTGCCAGTCGAAGAAATTCATTTTTCACAGCGATGCGATATTTTCTTCGAGAGCCGTTCACCTCGTGTCGCACTTAAAAATCGAGCACGGGCGTCTGAAACAATTTTTTGCAACCGAACGACCGAATGTAAAATTGCAAAATTATTCGACAATATAAACAGCGCCTTGAAGTATACTCTCAAAAATTGCCAGTCGAAGAAATTCATTTTTCACAGCGATGCGATATTTTCTTCGAGAGCCGTTCACCTCGTGTCGCACTTAAAAATCGAGCACGGGCGTCTGAAACAATTTTTTGCAACCGAACGACCGAATGTAAAATTGCAAAATTATTCGACAATATAAACAGCGCCTTGAAGTATACTCTCAAAAATTGCCAGTCGAAGAAATTCATTTTTCACAGCGATGCGATATTTTCTTCGAGAGCCGTTCACCTCGTGTCGCACTTAAAAATCGAGCACGGGCGTCTGAAACAATTTTTTGCAACCGAACGACCGAATGTAAAATTGCAAAATTATTCGACAATATAAACAGCGCCTTGAAGTATACTCTCAAAAATTGCCAGTCGAAGAAATTCATTTTTCACAGCGATGCGATATTTTCTTCGAGAGCCGTTCACCTCGTGTCGCACTTAAAAATCGTGCACGGGCGTCTGAAACAATTTTTTGCAACCGAACGACTGGATGTAAAATTGCAAAATTATTCGACAAATTTGATAGAATCTCGAAGCGTGTCGTCGAAAATTCTCGGCTCGGGAAATTCGTTTCGACGGAACGATTTCCTGGAATTTCTTTTCGGCGCGACTCAAATTCGAAAACATCGTCCGCCCGGATCTAGCTCCGATCTATCCCGAAGATGTCCACGATTAATAGATCCCCCAGTTTCCCGGATCGGCTGGCTCATATCGTATAGAACGGTGGCCGACGGGGAAGCTTTGAAATTCGTTTCAATATGTACAATTTGTCGCCGGCTGTATGCTATCGTTCCACCGGGAAGATCGATTTTCTTCTTATTCCGCGATTCTATCCATTATACGGAATTGCTGAACTTTACATTTGCTTCGAATTTTATTCCGTTCGATTCGCCCGGCTTCTCTCGTAGAACTTCTGATAAGAATACAGAGAGAACTCGGGGACGCGAGAAATATCTCGCGTGTTTGATAACTTTTCGCGCGGATCCAACCTTTTCTCGCAACAATCCCTCCGAATCTCTACATTGTTCTCCCGGATTCTCCATCGGCAATTTGCTGCTAGAAAAATCCCCGATGCACGCCGGGAGCAGCCTCGGATCGATCGAGAAATCACGGGATCCCACGTTCATCGATTCGAGCGCGAACGGAACTTAATTAATGACCCGTCTCGAAGGCGAAAGCCGAGCATAAAATCGCCGAAGCGATTAAAAAGCGACGACCATTCGATTGTAATTGCTGGAATTGAAATTCTTAAAAATTAAATATTTGCTGTATTAAAGAAAGTATGCAACGATTCGAAGAGTCGAGTTTCATTTCGAAGAACAATGGTGTTCGCTTCTCGTCAGAATTCGAGTAAAAAGTGAACGAAGCAAGTGATTCTTTTTTATTCGTATTTTCCTAAAATCCGAATGAAAAAGCAGCGTTTTATTTGCGAGTCAGAAATAATGAATCGATTATTCGTCGAATCGTATAAATGATTTTTCAATGAAACAGAAAATTCGACGATCACTTTCAAGTGAAATAATAATCGAATCCGCGACTTGCTAAGTCAATTATTCGCGGAATAACAGATTTCTTAAAGAAATCG